CTATATTGAAGATCTTTAAAAGTCTGACAAAAGGGTGTGGAAACCATTTCTCAAGAAAACTTCCCCAAACTGAAGCTTCTCAAGGTGATTATTTTGAAATGATTCTCAGATACTTGATATCTAAATTCTGATTCATTTATTTTTTTTTAAATTTTTTTTATGCCGGGTGCAGTGGCTCACGCCTGTAATCCCAGCACTTTGGGAGGCCGAGGCCGGCAGATCACGAGATCGGGAGTTCAAGACCAACCTGGCCAACATGGTGAAACCCCATCTCTACTAAAAATACAAAACATTAGCCGAGTGTGGTGGCAGGCGCCTGTAATCCCAGCTACTCAGGAGGCTGAGGCAGGAGAATCACTTGAACCTGGGAGGCAGAGATTGCGGTGAGCCGAGATTGTGCCACTGCACAGAGTGAGACTCTGTCTCAAAAAAAAAAAAAGGGGGAAGAGTATAGTTATTTCACCATGAAGTATATTTGTGTTAGGTTTTTTGTAGATAGCTTTTTATGAGTTGAAGACTTTCTCTTAAGTTTCTGGTTTCCTGAGAGGTTTTTTTGTTTTTTTTTTCCATGATTGGGTGTTAAATTTTGTCAGATACTTTTTCTTCCTCTGTTTTGAGAGGATCATACAATTCTTATATTTTATTCTGTTAATATGATGAAGTACATTGATGTTTCCAATAGTGAACCTACTCCTTGGTCATGCGATATTTTCTTCTTGAAATAGATCTGGATTTGTTTTGCTAATAACTTGCTAGGTATTTTCACTTGTATGTTCACGAAGGCTATTGGCCCATGACTCTGTTGTGATGCCTTATTCTGGTTTTGCTGTCAGGGCATTGCTGGCCTTATCGATTGGGAAACATTTTCTTCTTCTCTAGTTTCCGCTTGTGTAGCATTGGTATTATTTATTCCTTTAATGTTTAATAGAATTTAACAATGACTATGTGAAGCTCTGTTTTTGGGTGTGTATGCTACATTTAGGATTGTTCTTGATGCTCTTGATATGTTCTTGATGAACTGGATGAATTGACCCCTTTATCTTTGTGTAATGTCTTTCTTTTTTTTTTTTTTTTTTTTTTTTTTGAGACGGAGTCTCGCTCTGTCACCCAGGCTGGAGTGCAGTGGCCGGATCTCAGCTCACTGCAAGCTCCGCCTCCCGGGTTCACGCCATTCTCCTGCCTCAGCCTCCCGAGTAGCTGGGACTACAGGCGCCCACCACCTCGCCCGGCTAAGTTTTTGTGTATTTTTAGTAGAGACGGAGTTTCACTGTGTTAGCCAGGATGGTCTCGATCTCCTGACCTCGTGATCCGCCCGTCTCGGCCTCCCAAAGTGCTGGGATTACAGGCTTGAGCCACCGCGCCCGGCCTAGTCTTCTTTTTTTCTTGCCTTATTTTGGATACATTGAGTATTTATTAAGCATTCTGTTTTATCTCAAGTGTTGGCTAATTAGCCATCTCTCTCTGGTTTTAATTTGCTGCTTTAGGGTTTACAATGTGCAGTCGTTACCTATCACAGTCTACCTTCAAATAATTTTATTCCATGTCACAGATACTGTTTTATCAGGACAGTTTCATCTCCTTCTCTTTTCTATGCTGTTGTTATCACATATTTTACTTTATTTTTTACTTGCGTTATGAGCCCCACAATATATTGTTATTGGTTTTTCTTTAAGCAGTCACTTTTTACATTATTTATTTTAATTGTGATAAAATACCCATAACATAAAATTGACAATTTTAACTTTTTTTATTTTTTATTTTTTGAGATGGAGTCTCGCTCTGTCGCCCAGGCTGGAGTGCAGTGGCGGGATCTCGGCTCACTGCAAGCTCCGCCTCCTGGGTTCACGCCATTCTCCTGCCTCAGCCTCCCGAGTAGCTGGGACTACAGGCGCCCGCCACCTCGCCCGGCTAGTTTTTTGTATTTTTTAGTAGAGACGGGGTTTCACCGTGTTAGCCAGGATGGTCTCGATCTCCTGACCTCGTGATCCGCCCGTCTCGGCCTCCCAAAGTGCTGGGATTACAGGCTTGAGCCACCGCGCCCGGCCTAGTCTTCTTTTTTTCTTGCCTTATTTTGGATACATTGAGTATTTATTAAGCATTCTGTTTTATCTCAAGTGTTGGCTAATTAGCCATCTCTCTCTGGTTTTAATTTGCTGCTTTAGGGTTTACAATGTGCAGTCGTTACCTATCACAGTCTACCTTCAAATAATTTTATTCCATGTCACAGATACTGTTTTATCAGGACAGTTTCATCTCCTTCTCTTTTCTATGCTGTTGTTATCACATATTTTACTTTATTTTTTACTTGCGTTATGAGCCCCACAATATATTGTTATTGGTTTTTCTTTAAGCAGTCACTTTTTACATTATTTATTTTAATTGTGATAAAATACCCATAACATAAAATTGACAATTTTAACTTTTTTTATTTTTTATTTTTTGAGATGGAGTCTCGCTCTGTCGCCCAGGCTGGAGTGCAGTGGCGCGATCTCGGCTCACTGCAACCTCTGACTCCCGCGTTCAAGCGACTCCTGCCTCAGCCTCCGGATTACAGGCACATGCCGGCACGCCTAGATAATTTTTGTGGGACAGGGTTTCACCATGTTGGCCAGGATGGTCTCCATCTCCTGACCACATGATCCGCCTGCTTCAGCCTCCCAAAGTACTGGGATTACAGGCGTGAGCCACCACGCCCAGCCTAATTTTAACTATTTTTAAGTGTACAATTCAGTGGCATCAAGTACATTCACATTATTGTGCTACCATCACCACCATTCATTTGCAGAACTCTTTGTTTTGTACAACTGAAATTCTTTGCCTATTAGGCAATAACTACTCATTTCTCCTTCTCCCAGCTCCTGGCAACCAGCATTCTTGTCGCTGTGAATTTGACTCCTCTGGGTACCTCATATAAGTAGAATCATATAATATTTGTGACTAGCTTATTTCACTGAGCATAATGTTCTCACCGTTCCTTCGTGTTTTAGGGTATGTCAGAGTTTCCCTTCTTTTTAAAGCTGAATAAATTCCATTGTATGTTGATACCACATTCTGCTTGTCCGTTCATTGTTGACGGGCACTTTGGTGGCTCCTGCCTTTTGGCTGTTGCCTCTTAAATGCCTGTTTTCATGTACCCAGAAGTGGAATTGCTGGATCATATGATAATTCTGTGTTTTTGAAAAATTGTCATAGAGTTTTCCATAGTGGCCATATCATTTTACATTCCCACCAGCGATGCTCAAGGGCTCCAATTTGTCTAGCAATCATATTTGAAAGCAATTAAAACATGAGAAAAAAGTATTTTATATTCCCCCACATAGTTACCATTTCAGATCTCTTCTTTCTCATAGATTTATGTTTCTATTTAGTATCATTTACTTTCTGTCATTTCTTGCAGTGACAAATTCTCTTAGTTTTGTTTGTCTGAATCTTTATTTTGCCTTTATTTTTGAAAGATTTTCCTCCTGGATGTAAAATTTCTAGATTGACAGCCGCTTTTCTTTTACTACTTTAAATAAGTTGCTCCATTATCTTCTAGCTTATTCTTATCTTTGTTAATCTCTACATAATTATTGATAACTTTTAAGATTGTTTTCCATTGACTGGATAATAATATGCCTTGATGTGATTTTCTTTGTATTTATCCTGCTTGGAGTTGGTTGGGCTTCTTGGATTTGTAGACTTATAATTTTTATGAAATTCAGAAAGTGTTCAGCCATTATATCTTCATTTTTTTTCTGTTACATTCTCTTCTCTATTTTAGGAACTCCAAATACATGTATACTAGACTACTTGATATTGTTTAAAGGCCTTGGAGGCTGTTCTTTTTTTCTCCCTGGTCTTTTTTCTTCTCTGTGCTTCAGCGTGGATAGTTTCTGTTGCTCTGTCTCCAAGTCACTGGTCTTTTCTTCTTCAGCATCTAATGGCTTTTAATTACGTCTGAGTAAGTTTTTATTTCAGAAATTATATTCTTCATCTCTTAAAGTTGCATTTAGCTTTTTAAAAATATATATCTTCTCTCTCTGTCTCTCTCTCTTTTTTTTTTTTCTTGAGACAGGGTCTTGTTTCTGTCCCCCAAGCTGGAACATAGTGGTGCTATCAGAGTTCACTGCAGCCTTGACCTCCGGGGCTCAAAAGATTCTCCTACCACACCCTCCCTTGTATTTGGGACTATAGGCACACATCACCACGCCTGGCTAATTTTTAAACTTCTTTTAGTGACGGGTCTCTCCATATTGCTTAGGCTGGTCTCAAACTCCTGGCTTCAAACAATCCTCCTGCATCAGCCTCCCAAAGTGCTGGGATTATAGGCATGAGCCAGCATCCTCGGCCTATTTTTTTCTTTTTTCTTTTTTTTAGGTGGGGATTTGCTCTGTCACCCAGGCTGGAGTACAGGGGCATGATCTTGGTTCACTGCACCCTCTACCTCCCAGGCTCAAGAGATTCTCCTGCCTCAGCCTCCTGAGTAGCTGGACCACAGGCATGTGCCACCATGCCCGGCTAATTTTTGTATTTTTGGTAGAGACTGGGTCTCGCCATGTTACCCAGGCTGGTCTCAAACTCCTGAGATCAGGCAGTACACCTGCCTCAGCCTTCCAGAGTGCTAGGATTATAGGCATGAACCACCATGCCTGCCTTGTGGCCTGTTTTTTTCTATGTAAATATCCAGTTGTTTCAGTACCATTTGTTGAAAGGACTGTCCTTTCCCCATTAAATTACGCTGGTGCCTTTATTGAGAATTGTGTGAGGGTTACTGGATTCCATTGCTTTCCGTTGATCTTTGTCTATTTTTACAATAATGCTATAGTGGCTCATGACATGAATTAGGAAAGATCTAATGGATGATTCTGACGTGTTATAAAGATTTCATTTGACCTTATGATCTACTTTTGGAAAGTGAATTTTGAAATACAGTGTTTTCACTAATAGGAATACAGTGTTATGTTATCTCATTTAACAGTTGAATGAAGAGATTTACTTTAAATGTACTTGTCTTACAGAGACCTTTTAATCAAAGTGAAGTTTGGAGAAAGCATTGAGGACTTACAGACCTGCCGACTCTTAATTAAACAGGACATTCCTGCAGGACTTTTTGTGGATCCATATGAGTTGGCTTCATTACGAGAGAGAAACATAACAGAGGTACAGTTATTAGGGGATTTTTTGGGAGAGAAATTAATTTAGGGGTGCTATAGTTTGGACTAAGGAAAAATAGCAGGTTTCTTTTTCATTTTCTTAAAGTGTGTAAAGTGACATTTTTAGAGATAGAATGGGCATAGTCTTTGTCAAGTGAGTGACTCTTGTCAGGAATAAGCCAACTAAACTGAGCTAGTTAAATGCTTTTTAGCAAGGTGGTTCACAGCTCAGTGACTAAGCAAATTATCTGTGTGTATGTGTATGTCTTGAGAAAATTAATGATTAATAAATAGTGCCTCAACAGTAACTTTGTTAATGAGAATGACATATACCCCAACATCTGGGTAAGTGTTGCATCATTGCATTCCAGCCTGGACGTCAGAATGAGATTTTGTCTCAAAGAAAAAAAAACAAAAAAAAAACCTGAGGCACAACGAGGCCAAGTAACTTCTCCAAAATCATATAGGTAAATGGAAAAGCCAATAAATGGATCCAGGATTGTCTGATTGCAATATTGTTGCCCTTGCTGGGCCTAAATCTTACCCCTTAGTTAGAAGAGTTTCCCTGACTTTGTTCTTTTTTTTTTTTTTGAGACGGAGTCTTGCTCTGTCGCCCAGGCTGGGGTGCAGTGGCCGGATCTCAGCTCACTGCAAGCTCCGCCTCCTAGGTTTACGCCATTCTCCTGCCTCAGCCTCCCGAGTAGCTGGGACTACAGGCGCCCGCCACCTCGCCCGGCTAGTTTTTTGTATTGTTTAGTAGAGACGGGGTTTCACCATCAAGCCAGGATGGTCTTGATCTCCCGACCTCGTGATCCGCCTGTCTCGGCCTCCCAAAGTGCTGGGATTACAGGCTTGAGCCACCGCGCCCGGCCTCCTTGACTTTGATAAGAATTCCTTGGGGGCACGTTTGTACAGATTATTGCCTTCCTGGGAAATCCTGATTTTTAGGTCTAGATTGGACCTGAAAATCTGGTTTGAAGAACCCAGATGATTTCTTGTTTTTTTTTTTTTAATTATTGTGGGTACGTAGTAGGTATATGTAACCCAGGTGATTTCTGTTAAGAAATTTTGGGAGACACTGTCTTAGTTGATAAGATTATAATCTACTTATAATTTTTAAAACTGTAAAATAGATGCATCTATAGTTATTCATGATGGCAGTTTGTTTATTTCTAATCGTGGTTTAGGCCAGTTTCTTTACCCGTTTATTGTATTTTAATTTTTTTTGAATAAGTAATTGCATTCTCAAGGGTTCATTGAGTAGATATAGAAAGGTATGCAATGATAGCATTCTACCTATGTCAACCCCAATCACCAAGTGTGTTCTCAGTTTTTTGTGTATGTATCACAGTTCACATACACATACAATGACGGAAGGACCTCATTTTTTAAAATTTAATTAATTTTTTTTTTTTTTTGAGATAGACTGTCTGTTGCCTAGGCTGGAGTGTATTGGCACAATCTCGGCTCACTGCAACCTCTGCCTCCCAGGTTCGAGTGCTCCTGCGTCAGCCTCCCAAGTAGCTAGGATTACAGGTGCATGCCACCATGCCCGGCTAATTTTTGTATTTTTAGTAGAGTAGGGGTTTCACCATGTTGGCCTAGCTGATCTCGATCTCCCGACCTCAGGTGATCCGCTCGCTTTGGCCTCCCAAAGTGCTGGGATTATAGGCGGGAGCCACCGGCCAGAAGGATCTCATTTATTTTTTTTCTTCAATGAATTATGAATTCTAAGTGAGGCTTTTCAAATTTAAAATAATGGATTTCAAATTTCAACACAGTTTTTGGCTTGTAAGGACATGGGTTGGAATCATATTTAAATCTACTTAATAAAATCACTTACCGTGTTCTAAGAAAATGGAAGTTTTTTGGATGGGGATTACCCAAAAAGTCATACCTTTGGATGGGGATGAGATTTGGATGTTTGAAGGTTGACTGTTACAAGGGTACAGGTAGAGAGTGCCATTATAGATTGATTAACAAGTTTATCTTGATCTTGATTTTCTGCTTTCTAATCTTCTAATCCCTAATTGTAAGCCTTGTAAGTGTAGGTACTTATTTATTTTGGAAACTTCTAGAAAAATAGATGTTACATTTGTGACATTTAAATATATGGAATTTGATGCCTGACATATTAGATGCTGCTTGCTTCTGCCTAGTTGAGATTGTGGCCCAATTCCTTGTACAGAAAAACTCTGTTATGCTGAGTGTTATTATATAATAAGTGTAACTGGGTAGAAGGAACTTATATGTAGGGACTGACTGATGCTTGTATACCTGGATTAATGTCTTGACTCTGCTCCAGGAAATAAAATTTTTGGCTGCAGCAAATGGAACTGTGGGCCCAAACTAAATGAGTAATGTGCCAGCGAAATGCTTTGTAAGGAGCTTGTGATGGTTTGTGAATAATTTGAAAATAAATGCAAGCCTTAAGTAGGTTCACCAAGGATAAGGCATATCAAATAAACCTCATTTCACTTTTTTAGGTAGGGCTATTAAATGTATTTTTTCATCAAAATCCTTAGATTCTTTGAAAACAGTATAATATTAGATTGAAACATATAAAATTGCTGTTTTATAGGTCAAAATGGAAACACTTTCTGAAACCGTAAGTTTTACTCAAAGTATGTAGTATTAAGGCTTATGCTTAATAAGTGGACAAGTGGAGAACAGGTAACAGATTTAGTCTCTCACTTGAAACAAGCAAGAAATAAACAAAATATATGAAATAATGAGAAAAGTCATTGGATATCAGGCAATGAAGGGCAGAGATATCCAAGAGAAGGGAAATAAGTAAGGTGAGCCCTACTGTCATCCAGCTTATTTCCTTGAGAATGTTTTCAGGCTTAATGCAGGGAAGAGAAACTCAAGCAGAGCCTAGTGGACTTTTTGAGTTGAGGAGATAAAGCTGAGATTCTGGGCAGACAGAGGTCACTAGAATTCGCAAGACAGTGTACCAGAGAGGAGAGAACTTCATGGAGGCAGAACTCCAGAAATAACAGAAGGTTCCTTTCAAGTATGTAGCTGAGTATTTTTCAGTGTGTATATGTTAGGAAACTACCTGATGCCAGGGAAAGAACCATCTAACAAACTGAGCGGTAACAGTGTCTCTCTGTTGAGTAACTGCACTCACACAGGGACGGGAGTAGTACCTCGTCCCGACAACCAAACTGCGAAAAGCCTGATAATTTCTTTTTTTTTTTTTTTTTTTTTTTTGAGACGGAGTCTCGCTCTGTCGCCCAGGCTGGAGTGCAGTGGCCGGATCTCAGCTCACTGCAAGCTCCGCCTCCCGGGTTTACGCCATTCTCCTGCCTCAGCCTCCCGAGTAGCTGGGACTACAGGCGCCGCCACCGCGTCCGGCTAATTTTTTTTTGTATTTTTTAGTAGAGACAGGGTTTCACTGTGTTAGCCAGGATGGTCTCGATCTCCTGACCTCGTGATCCGCCCGTCTCGGCCTCCCAAAGTGCTGGGATTACAGGCTTGAGCCACCGCGCCCGGCCTATAATTTCTTGAACAACGGATAAACAGAGAACTTTTACTCAGTAGCAGGGAATACTTAGCCGCAAACTGAACGTTGCTTTAGTCCTGCATAACAAATCTTAAAAGCAAAACCTTAAAAAAAAAAATCAAACTGTTTCTAAGTAAACTACCTGCACTGCAAACAAAGCTCAAGAATATGTATAGGAGTACAGACATATCCAGCAAGATCAAATCAGCAATTTCTTAACTCTAATAAAAAATTAGCAGCTAAGCAAGGATGTGGGGGAAAAAAATGACCTATAATGAGGAGGTGAATCAATCAGTTAAAACCAATCCAGAATTGCCCCAGATGTTAGAATTAACAGGCCATAGACCGGGGTTGGTGGTTCACGCCTATAATCCCAGCACTTTGGGAGGCTGAGGCAGGTGGATCACTTGAGGTCAGGAGTTCGAGACCAGCCTGGCCAACATGGTGAAACCCCGTCTCTACGAAAAATACAAAAAATTAGCCAGGCGTGGTGGTGGGCACCACCAGCTACTCGGCGGCTGAGGCAGGAGAATCACTTGAATCCCTGAGGTGGAGGTTGCAATGAGTTGAGATCGCGCCATTGCACTCCAGCCTGGGCAACAAGAGCGAAACTACAACTCCTTCTAAAAAAAAAAGGAATTACCAGGCCATTAAAACAGTTACTGTAACTGCATCCCATGTGTTCAGAATTTAACTGGAATCATGGAAGATATTTTTAAAAGTCAGCATTGAACTTCTAAAGATTAAGACTGCAGTGTGTGAGATGAAAAATACACTGAATGAGTTAGTGGCAGATCAAATATTGCAGAAGAAAAGATAAATGAACTTGAAGATACTGCAATAGAAACTACCAAAAATATAAAACAGATAAGAAACAAATTTACAAGGTGAGCAGAGCATTAATGAACTGTGTAACAACTAAGTGGCTTGCCCTACATGCCACTGGAGTCCCCAAAGGGTAAAGTGAGAGGCAGAGATGGAAAAAATATTTGTAGAAAAATTGACTGAAAACTTTCTGAATGTAATGAAAACTATAAACTCAAATATGAAAGATGCTGAAGTACAAGAACATGAAGAAAACTATATAAAGGTACATGATAATCAAATAGCTTAAAACAATGATAAAGAAAATCTTTAAAGTAGTAAGAGAAAAAAGATGTTACTCGCAGAGGAGCAAAGATGATAAGATGATGACAGTGGTAACTACAGGGTAAATATGTGAGACTTCCCATCTCTTTACAAGATAATAGACAAAAATAATAACAATGTAGCATAGCATTGATACCATATGTAAAAGTAAGATGTGTGACAGAAATATCACAGACGGCTGGGCTCAGTGACTCATTCATACCTCTAATCCAAGCACTTTGGGAGACCGAGGTAGGAAGATTGCCTGAGGCCAAGGAGTTTGAACCAACCCAGGCAACGCAGTGAGAATCTCTACCAAAAACTTTAAAAATTAGTTAACTGTCAGGCGTGGTGGCTCACGCCTGTAATCCCAACACTTCAGGAGGCCAAGGCGGGAGGATCATGAGGTCAGGAGTTCGAGACCAGCCTGGCCAACATGGTGAAACCTCATCTCTACTAAAAATACAAAAAGTTAGCTGGGCGTGGTGGCGTGTGTCTATAGTCTCAGCTACTTGGGAGGCTGAGGTGTAAGGATTGCTTGAGCCTGGATGACTTCAGTGAGCCGTGATCACGCCAGTGCACTCCAGCCAGGGTGACAGAGTGAGACCTTGTCTTAAAAAAAGAAGAGGCTAGGTACGGTGGCTCATGCCTATTATCCCAGCTCTTTGGGAGGATAAGGCAGGAGAATCGCTTGAGCCCAGGAGATCAAGGCTGCAGTGCACCATGATTGTGCCACTGCACTCCAGCCTGGGTGACAGAGTGAGACTCCGTCTCAAAAAAATAAGATAGTAGTGCATATAAAGCATAGTGAGATAAGGCTGCCAAAAAGCTAATGCAAGTTTTGCCTAAAGAAGATAATACTGCTACTGTACTCTATGAGTATTTCAAAGGCAGCTAATATGAGGAATGATTTGGAAACCATGTCATGAGAACCCAGGAGAACTGTGAACATTTCCCTTGTCAGGAGAAGACTTCGTGGCGGCAGCTATGGTTGCCTTCTGATGATCAAAGGATCCCTAGTGGAATAAGGAATGAATTTATTGCAGACATTGTAAGCAAGAACAACTGATAAATGTTACAGGCTAGTACATAAAGTTTCTACTCATGAAAAAGAAATAACCTTATAACGGTAGATAGATCGAGATGACTCATAATAATGAGCTTCCTTCCAGTCACTGGAAGTATTCAAGCAGTGGCGGTATACCTGAAAAATACCTTTGTTGGTACAGTGGTTTAATTTTATTACTTCTAAGGTCCCCTATGACTCATGAGATGATACAATTCCTTGACTTTTGCCAAGGAGTTCCGTTCCTGCTGTGATTAACTGAAAAGGAACAACATGAAAAGAAAACATAGCACTTGGTGTCACTGTCAGAGGACAGTTAGGATGCTTGATGTGATGGGAAGGAGTTAATGCTGTTTGTTTCTTTAAGTTATGCCCAGGTTTTGCATGGACAATCTAAAGAGAAGTTATGTGTGTGTGTACATCCATACATGTACACATAGGTCATGTGTATAATGCCTGTGTGTGTATGTGGATATATGTGTGTGTGTACATAAATATGTATGTATGCGTGGATATATATATGTGTGTAATAAATAAATATACATGTTATAACTCAGGCCTAATTTCTGCCATGTGTACACTTTCACTTTTGGTGAATACTATACTTTTCTATAAAATAGTTTTTACTATATTATTTTAAGAAATCATTTACTATTTTTTCCATTAACTTTTTATACCCTCTCTAGAAAGAGTGCTGGCCTTTGCTTTGACTTCCTGACCGCAGTGCTCATACTCACTGCCCTCACTTGCTTCTCTGAAGAACAGGAAATTGTCAGAATGATACCAGTCATTTTAACTCAATACAGGTTTCACCCTTTGTCATCGTTTTTGTGCTTATTGAATAATGCTATATTCACACAATTTCTCAGTTCTTAGGTACCTGTTTTGTCACCTAAACACAGACTAATAAGAAAATATTACAGGAATAATTTTTATTACGGGGAAATTTGGTACCCTAGAATATAATTCCCCCAGTTTATTTTTAGTAAGCAAACTTTTATTAACCATAAATTGTCTTCTGTTTCTCTCCTTAAAATTGAGGATGGAAGGGGAATGGAAATTTTTTGTAAAAGGGGCAAACTTGACACTGCTCTGTGTGTCTGAATACAGTCTTCCAGTTTTCACTTTTAAAAAATCTTCCTCATTCATTTCTTCTTGATTAATATTGATTTTCTTTTTGAACAGGCAGTGATGGTTTCAGAAAATTTTGATATAGAGGCCCCTAACTATTTGTCCAAGGAATCTGAAGTTCTCATTCATGCCAGACAAGATTCACAGTGCGATGACTGTTTTCAAGCCTTTTTGCCTGTGCACTACCGCTATCATCGGCCACACAGTCACGATGGAGAAACCTCGATTGTGGTCAATCACCCAGATTTGTTGATGTTTTGTGACCAAGGTGAGGGCTGCAGGTGTTTTCTAAGGGTCAGAAAATAAGAATAAAGGTATGGTGGCAAGTTCTCCTTCTGCTAGGGTGGCTGGCAAAGTTCTATTTCTTGACCTAAGTGGTAGTTAGAAGGGTATTTGCCTTATAATAATTCACTAAACTATGTATTTGAGTAGATTTTTATGTGTGTGCTTTATTTTACAATCAAAAAGTTAAAAAGAAACATGCATTTTCCATCCCTGTCCTTGACACCGCTGCCCCAACTGTCGTCTCCTTCCCTCTACGACTAACCCACCATCCTGACTTTCAGATACTTCCTTATGTTTCTTTATATGTTTATCATCCAGATGGGCATTCCAAGATACTATACCAAGACTAAGGTCTTGTCCATTTATAAAAATCTACTATTTCCCTCAAGTCTCTTAATTTACAGGTTTCTCTCTATCCCTTTCCTTTCTTCCAAACTGAACTGTTGAAAGAACCTGGGCCATTTGACCTGCAGAGTTGGTCGTAGCTGGGGTTTTGCTAATTGTACTCATGTTCCTCCTACTTCTTTACTTACTGGAAATTGGCAGCTGGCTCCAGAGGAATGATCAGATTCAGGTTTGATTCCTTTCACAAAACTATAGGTAGTGCTGTGTTCTCTTCTCAGTAGCCATTTAATCTTAGTAGGCATGTACATGTGTTTATTTTTGCAGCCTTTGGTCCACATTGCCCCTCTGTTGCTTTTTGTTTCTTTGTACCAGTCTTGCAGGACTCTGTGGCTTTTGATGTTTTGTTTCCACTTGCATGTATTTTGATGTTTGGGAAGATACTTTATCACCTAGTTTTGTTGTAAATTTTGTCTGTGAGTTTTTTATTTTGCTGCATGATTGTTGTTTCTGTTTTTATGTGAGAATTTGGGTAAATTGAAAAATTAGCTGGGCGAGGTAGCTCACAATCCCAGCACTTTGGGAGGCTGAGGCGGGTGGATCAGAGGTCAGGAGTTTGAGACCTGCCTGACCAACATGGTGAAACCCCATCTCTACTAATCTCTACTAAAAATACAAAAAATTAGCTGGGCATGGTAGCAGGGGCCTGTAATCCCAGCTACTTGGGAGGCTGAGGAAGGAAAATCACTTGAACCCAGGAGGCGGAGGTTGCAGTGAGCCAGGATCGCACCAGTGCACTCTAGCCTTTGCAGTCTTCTCAAGAACGTTTTCTTTCTTCCTTTTTTTTTTTTTTTTTTTTTTGAGGCGGAGTCCCACTTTGTTTCCCAGGCTGAAGTGCAGTGGCGTGATCTTGGCTCACCACAATCTCCGCCTCTCCTGCCTCAGCCTCCTGAGTAGCTGGGACTACAGGTGTGTGCCACCACGCCCAGCTAATTTTTGTATTTTTGGTAGAGATGGGGTTTCACTGTGTTGGCCAGGCTGGTCTCGAACTCCTGACCTCGTGATCCGCCCACCTTGGCCTCCCAAAGTGTTGGGATTACAGGCATGAGCCACCGCGCCCAGCGAAGATGTTTTCTTTAGTGTAAGAAGTTCCTTTCAGTTTTTGGTTCTTTGTGTCTTCAAATTTGGGTTGATTTAGAATGTTTATAAAAGTTAATAGCACTGAGGCTAGGTACAGTGTATCACACCTGTAATCCCAACACTTTGGGAGGCCGAGGCGGGCAGATCAGTTGAGGTCAGGAGTTCGAAACCAGCCTAGATAACATGGTGAAACCCCATCTCTACTAAAAATATAAAAATTAGCCAGGTGTTGTGGTGTGTGTCTCTAATCCCAGCTACTCAGGAGGCTGAGGCACGGGAATCGCTTGAACCCGGGAGGCAGAGGTTTCAGTGAGCTGAGATCGTGTCACTGCACTCCAGCCTGGGAGACAGAGCAAGACTGTCTCAAAAAAAAAAAAAAAAAAGGTTAATAGCGCTGTTACTAAAAACCGACAGATGGAAGGTTTTTAATGCTACATTTGTTACCATCGTACCTTTCATGTTGAGAAAATTTAAAAGTGTTCAGTTATATTAGCTTTGTTCATCCAACCTTGTTTTCTGTTTCCATTAAAGGTACCTCTTAGCATAAATAAAGTTTGGAAAAGTTCCTCTCCTGAGAGAACTGGATTCTGGTATTCTGTCTTTTTATCTGAATGCTCTTTTATGGGTGTGTTTCATATGGAAATTTACCGAGTTTTGCACTTACAATATGTTTACTTTTCTGAGTGATGCTTCAAAAAGAAGTTTACATTAAATTTTTAAGAGCAGCCCCAAATTTGAGTACAATGAAGATTCATTAAGAAGTCATGTTCGGCTGGGCATGGTGGCTCACGCTTGTAATCCCAGCACTTTGGGAGGCCGAGGTGGGTGGATCACGAGGTTACGAGTTTAAGACCATCCTAGCCAAGATGGTGAAACCCCATCTCTACTAAAAATACAAAAATTAGCTGGGTGCAATGGCAGGTACCTGTAATCCCAGCTACTCTGGAGGCTGAGGTAGGAGAATCGCAAGGTGGAGGGTGCAGTGAGCCGAAATTGCACCACTGCACTCCAGCCTGGGTGACAGAGTGAGACTCCGTCTCAAAAAAAAAAAAAAAAAAAAAGAAGTCATGTTCAACTTCAATACTTTTGTAATTTTCTAATTTCTTAGGCAGTCACATAAAAAAGGATGCTAAAAGGCCAGGCGCAGTGGCTCACGCCTGTAATCCCAGCACTTTGGGAGGCTGAGGCGGGTGGATCACGAGGTCAGGAGATTGAGACCATCCTGGCTAACACGGTGAAACTCCGTCTCTACTAATAATAAAAAAAAAATTAGTTGGGCGTGGTGGTGGGCACCTGTAGTCCCAGCTACTCGGGAGGCTGAGGCAGGAGAATGGCGTGAACCCAGGAGGCGGAACTTGCAGTGAGCCGAGATCATGCCACTGCACTCCAGCCCCGGCGACAGAGCGAGACTCTGTCTCAAAAAAAAAAAAAAAAGAATGCTAAAATAACAGAATGTGATAGATGGGTCCGGATCATATACATAATGTATTAAAATGTTTGACTACTTCTATCTATTGAGGTTTAATACAAGCCTAGCTTTGAGTCCAAATACAGGTTTTCTGACATCATTTTCTACAACTTTTCTCAGAGTTCCCAATTTTGAAATGCTGGGCTCACTCAAAAGTGGCGGCTCCTTGTGCTTTGGAGAACGAGGATATCTGCCAGTGGAACAAGATGAAGTATAAATCAGTAAGCTAATATTTTATGTTGTTTTTTAGATCATGTGCCTCATTTAAAGCTCTTTCTGTAATGTTTCTGCCATATTTAAGAGATTAGCACTTTTTTTTTTTTTTTTTACGGAGTCTCGCTCTGTTGCCCAGGCTGGAGTGCAGTGGCACAATCTCGGCTCACTACGGGCGTGAGCCACCGCACCCGGCCAACTTTGTATATATTTCATCTTTATATATACCAGAAAAACCAGGTGGCCATTACTAAGGTGATATTCCATCCCAAGGTTTGTTGACGATGTCATTTTTTGAATGATGGTTTTCAGATAGCACTTTGTTACGGACTTGTATTTTTGGGGGTGTAAAATCATAATTCAGGTATTTACAAAAAGAAAACAAAAAGTATTCCCAAGTTACCTAAATTTTAATGTTTTGTAAAACTTATTATAAGTGTAAACTTTCCCAGTGTTTTTCACGGAACTCCTTTATCTTCAAAACCAAATAGAAAATAGAACCGAGTTGAATGTAGGAACTTTTGCGTTGCTGGTCACAGCAAAGGTCACATTCCGTTGCACAATATGTGAATAACAAGGTTTTAAAGCTATCTGGGGTGAGAAAGGCAAATGGGAATGAAAGGATAATTCAGTTTTTGTTGTTTTAATGGTTTTCCTATACATCTTCAATTTAGAGAGAATTCTGTATTCTAATTTGAAACACGTTAAGAGGAAGTAAATGTTTATATTGATTACAGAGGTGACACTGGGATATAGCTTTTCTTAAAGGAATATACTTTATGTAAAAAGCAGAAAAATCAGAACTAATGAGATTTAGCAACTTATTGTGGGAACTGAGTCTGATTCTGTAACATTAAATGAAATGTTAGATTCAAAAGTCATTCAAACCAATAATATTACATGTAGTGTAGCACTGGCTGAAAGATATTTAAAACAAAAAGGAAAGAAAAAGATCCAATTAAAAATCAAAGAAATAGTGGTCTCACCTTATGACATGCATTTTGTTTTACTATATTTATTTATTTATTTAATTTGTTTGAGATGGAGTCTTCCTCTGTCGCCCAGGCTGGCGTACAGTGGTGCGATCTCAGCTCACTGCAAACCTCCGCCTCCCGGGTTCAAGTGGTTGTTCTACCTCAGCCTCCCTAGTAGCTGAGACTACAGGCACCTGCCACCACACCTGAATAATTTTTGTATTATTAGTAGAGACGGTTTAGTAGAGATGTTGGCCAGGCTGTGTTCGAACTCCTGACCTCAAGTGATCTGCCTGCCTTGGCTTCCCAAAGTGCTGGGATTACAGGCATGAGCCACCACACTGGGCCCATGACATGCATTTTAAATGTCTAACTTCTCTCTCTCTCTCTCTCTCCATAGGTATATAAGAATGTGACTCTACAGGTTCCAGTGGGACTGACTATACATACCTCTTTAGTATGTTCTGTGACTCTGTTCGTTACAATCCTGTGCTCTACGTTGATCCTAGTAGCAATTTTCAAATATGGCCATTTTTCCCTATAAGTTTTATGTAGTTAAATGCTTCCTAGAAACCTAAATAAGATCTATTAATTTCTGACGAGAGGTGTTCTTCTAGAATTTAGTTAATTACTTTTATCTTTTGTCTTCATTTGTGGCCAAAATTATGTTTACTAGAGGAAATTTGGGGTAATTCTCAACTAATTCCAAAATTTAGTGCTCTATTGCATAGATCCTTGGTAATCCTCAAGCATCAAAGGCCATAAGAGGAAACTTAATTCTGCTAAATTAATGTTTATTTTGTGAGAAGTGACTTTATCTTCATTTGAGAAAGAAAAATTATTTCTTTTTTTTGAGATGGAGTCTCGCTCTGTCGCCCAGGCTGGAGTGCAGTGGCGCAATCTCGGCTCACTGCAAGCTCCGCCTCTTGGGTTCACGCCATTCTCCTGCCTCAGCCTCCCGAGTAGCTGGGACTACAGGCGCTGCCATCACGCCCGACTGATTTTTTTGTATTTTTAGTAGAGATGGGGTTTCACTGTGTTAGCCAGGATGGTCTTGATCTCCTGACCTGGTGATCTGCCCGCCTCGGCCTCCCAAAGTGCTGGGATTATAGGTGTGAGCCACTGCGCCCGGCTGAAAAATTACTTCTTTATGTAGTAGAGACAAATTATTGTCATTTTGCGAATACTTTCAATTTAAGCTACAAATTGAGAAAACCATTATAAATAAGAATAAAATAGGCCAGGCGCAGTGGCTCACACCTGTAATCCCAGCACTTTGGGAGGCCAAGGTGGGTGGATCACCAGAGGTCAGGAGTTTGAGACCAGCTTGGTGAAACCCTGTCTCTACTAAAAATACAAAAATTAGCTAAGGGTGGTTGTGGGCGTCTGTAGTCCCAACTAATTGGGAGGGTGAGGCGGGAGGATCACTTGAACCTGGGAGGTGGAGGTTCCAGAGAGCCAAGATCGCACCACTGCACTCCAGCCTGGGTGACAGAATGAGACCCTGTCTCCAAAGGAAAAAAAAAAAGAATAAAATAATTTGGATGAAAATCATGTTTATTTAAATATTAATGTTATGAGACTATTAAAGACATTTGCCAGAGTTTCAATGAAAATCATTAAAGTAGGACAGCTAAGAAATTAATATTAATATCAAAATTATTGGTAATCTTAAATTATTGATTATTCCTTAACGTACTCCATTCTCCTTTTACATTTTATAATGTTTCTTTTGGATATATGATTTAGCAAAGGACTTGATGAAACTGAATACTAAGATTTAGTACAGTGTCAGGAAGACAACTCAGATTGCCATTTTAAATAAAGTTGTACATGAACAATAATTGGAATCATCAGGTAATTTTTTTAAAGAAAGTTTCTTCATTTACTGTTACGTTTGGAAAAAAATTAGAAAATAAAGTAAGTGCCGTAGGCTAATTAAAAAATAAAACCTTAGGGCAAGTGTGTTCCAAAACAGAAGCCATCAAACCAGGGTGTGTGGGCATTATTTGTTTTATATAGAGTATTGAGATGTGATAAACCTTTATATATGCCATCACTGCTCCATTTCCTAAAATATTTTGGTGTTTTCATGGGACTACATCTTGTAGAATTTGACATGTATGACTTGACTAGTCATAACCGTTCTTTTTAAATGTGTATTTGAGACTTAAATATTGGAAAAGGCAACCCAGTGCCATAAAGCAGAAACGGTGACCTTTCAAATGACTAAAATTTCAACCCAGTTGAGTTTCAGACCGATTTCGTGCTTTCTCATAAGAGAGAATTTCATGTTTTAGAAATACTTCTTTCACTGTGGGATTAATAATGTGACACTGAAATGGAATTATATGTCAGTTACAATTCAGTAACATTGACAGGCAACATTTTGGAATACGGTTAGACAGGGAGGGAACATGGTACTGTTTCACATCTTGAGAGTATGTGGGGGTATGTGTATACAGAATGTTTTTGTTTTTGCTCATCACAACCAGGTTTCATCAGTATTTAAAATATTTAAGATTGTGGCTTGGAATGTGGTTCAGCCATTTACTCACGCAAATATTCAGAAGTGTAATAAAAATGTGAATGAAGAAAACTTTGAAATGACTCTTCTTGCCTGGATAAATGGTTGCAGATGACATCACTTTTAGTATAACAGAACATTTCTGGTTTTGTTTATACTATCTTGTAAACATGGCCAACATGGTGAAACCCCGTCTCTACTAAAAATACAAAAAATTAGCCGGGAGTGGTGGCGTGCGGCTGTAATCCCAGCTACTTGGGAGGCTGAGGCAGGAGAATCACTTGAACCCGAGAGGCAGAGGTTGCAGTGAGCTGAGATTGTGCCACTGCACTCCAGCCTGGGTGACCGAGTGAGACTCCGTCTCAAAAGAAAAAAAAGAAAAAGAAATATACCTTTAAAGGAGTTCCTTTAGTATGTCTCTGTTGGTAGCTTGTTTATGTTTGATGATATATTTATTTCACCCTCACTCATCTGATGGATAATTTAGGTAGTTGTACACTTCTTTTTTTTTTTTTTTGAGACAGAGTCTCGCTCTGTCATCCAGGCTGGAGTGCAGTGGCATGGTCCCTGCTCACTGCAACCTCCACTTCCCAGGTTCAAGTGATTCTCCTGCCTCAGCCTACTGAGTAGTTGGGACTACAGGCATGCACTACCACACCCTGCTATTTTTTGTATTTTTAGCAGAGACAGGGTTTTGCCATTGTTGGCCAGGCTGTTCTTGAACTCCTCATCTCAGGTGATCCGCCCACCTCAGCCTCTCAAAGTGCTGGAATTACAGGTGTGAGCCACTGTGCCCAGCTGGTAGTTGTACACTTCTAAGCTTGGTTATTTTCTCTTGGTACTTTGAAAATATATCATTATTGACTGGAACCCATTTTGCTGTTGTGAAATCTGCTGTGAATGTAATAGTTGTTTGTGCAGAATGTCTTTTCTCTCTGGTTGCTTTATCTCTGGTATTCTGCAATTTCATTTTCATGTGTTTGAAATTTCTTTTACTTACCCTGCTTGGTGTTCAGTTTGCTTCCTGAATCTGAAGATTCTTGTCTTTAATTAATTCCGGAAATTTTTCAGCCATTATCTCATTATTATCTGTGTCTTTTGGTTTTTCTCTTTTCTCTCCTGGAAATCTCATTAGGAGTATGGTAGACCTTAACAATCTATCCCCATGTCTCTTAAGCTTGCTTTCATTTTTCCTGTCTCTAGGCTGTTCTCAGTAATTTCTTTTGATCTGTCTTTCAGTTTACTAATTTTCTCTTCAATTGTGTGTAATCTGCTATTTAACCAAACATTGGCTTTGGTTTCAATTATTCGTTGTTTCTAGAACTTCTACTTAATTCTTTTGTTGTTGTTTTTGTTTTGAGACGGAGTTTTGCTCTTGTTGCCCAGGCTGGAGTACAATGGCACAATCTTGGCCCACTGCAACCTCCACCTCCCAGGTTCAAGTGATTCTCCTGCCTCAGCCTCCTGAGTAGCTGGGACTACAGGCGCCCACCACCACGCCCAGCTAATTTTTGCATTTTTAGTACAGACGGGGGGGTTTCACCAAGTTGGCCAGGCTGGTCTTGAACTCCTGACCTCAGGTGATCCGCCCACCTTGGCTTCCGAAAGTGCTGGGATTACAGGCGTGAGCCACCATGCCTGGCCTACTTAATTCATTTTCAAAGCTGTTTGGTCATTAAAAAGATAATAAAATAAATTTTAAAAAGCATCTTGTTTCTTGCTCATGTTTTCTAGCTCCTGTCTTATTTTCTTTAATCATTTAAATAGGTGTATTTTATATTCTGTAGCCATTAATTCTAGCAGCTAAAGTCTGTATGGGTTTTCTTATATTCTTTGTAGTTTCTATTGACTCACTCATTGTTGCTTATTTCCTCAGGTATATTGTATTTTGGGTGCTCATGTTTGGCTTTGGAAATCCTGTTTAATCTGTGAAATCCTTTGAGACCCAGGTTGAGGGTACACCTGTGCAGTCAGGATTTGTATTTGTCTCGTCCAGGCCCCCCAGAACTCCAGCCTGGGACCACTTTCTTGACAAATTTGAACTTTAAAACCTTAGTGAGGGAAAATTCTAAAAGGTTATTAATTCTAAAGGAAAAATTTCTTTTTCCCTCCAAGCCAACTGCAGGCCAAAGTAAACAAATGTCCTGTACGTCTCCCTGGGCTAGTACAGGGTCTTTTTCCCCCAGTCAGTTCTTGAAGGGCATAGCGCTTTGAATTTCCAGTTCTATGCAGGATCACAGTCCTGATTTCTTGTATAGGCCCAAGTCCTTGTCTTTAGTTTCCTGTGCACCTGTTAAAACCCTAGAGATTTCTTAGATAAGTAGGTGCCCTCAACACAGCCATGGCTTCACTGCCCTGCTTACCACTCTGGTTTCCTGCCCCTTCTTCAGGTTGAGTGTGAAATTTGGAAGACTGTCAGAAGCATTCTGTTTTCATTCTTGCAAGCTATGCCTTTTTTTTTTTTTTTTTTTTTTTGAGAGAGTCTCGCGCTGTGTCACCCAGGCTGGAGTGCAGTGGCGCGATCTCGGCTCACTGCAAGCTCCGCCTCCCAGGTTCACGCCATTCTCTTGCCTCAGCCTCCGAGTAGCTGGGACTACAGGCGCCCGCCACCTCGCCCGGCTAGTTTTTTGTATTTTTAGTAGAGACGGGGTTTCACCATGTTAGCCAGGATGGTCTCGATCTCCTGACCTCGTGATCCACCCGCCTCGGCCTCCCAAAGTGCTGGGATTACAGGCTTGAGCCACCGCGCCCGGCCGCAAGCTATGCCTTTGAAACAATGTCCTGTTTACCAGTGTTTCTGTGTGTTTATTAAACACACATAATCAGAGCATTTTTCAGGTTATCTCTTACTGTGCCATGTTGCTCCTTGATTCCTTTCTCTCCTGTACCCTCTGCATCAGTTGAGTTTTCTGCTCTACATTGATAGAGAAGCACAATCCCTCTTTCTTTCCACTGCCTTCCTACTTTATTTCCCTTCTGTTCTTGCATCTCTATACTCCATTATCCACACTGCAGTC